GGGGGGGGGGGGAGAGGGCGGAGGAATTGGGTAACAGTTGCCTGCCATTAGAAAGTTTGTACTAACTAACATTTATGAGAAATGGGAGGAACTGTACTCTGCTCTGGTGTTCTCAGTAACTCTTGATCATTCCCTGTGCCCCACACCATATCATGCGAGTGACCAAAGGAAGTGGGGGAAAAAAACATTCTGTTCCTTCTTGGTGGGCCACATGTTTAATATACCCAAATCCATATCACTGCCCAGTCAGTCAAAGCACTGAAGGCAGAAAAAGTAAGTAACAACACGATACTAGCCCTTCTCTGTTCAAACTAATGGATTGTTCTTTGCGGATAGCTGCCAGATAGAATTAAAAAAATTTCTTGCCTGTCCTCCTTCTCACCTAGTTTTTGCTATGCCTTTTGTTTTTGACTGTAGAGGAATCCTGTGATGATGACTGATGAATTCTAAACTGAGAATCTTTATTGGGAAAGAAAGACTAGTTTTAACATTTGTTTTCTTGACCATTTTTACATAAAATGCTATAGAGCTTGAAATAACCACAGAAAATAATAGCCAGAAGAATTTTTTGTAATGGAAAATTATAATAGTCTTTACTACTTTCACACTAATTTTCCTTAGTGTGGCAATGTGGAATAATCTGACTTGTCATTTGCCAACAATCATTAACCCCATCAGACACAAAATTCCACTGCAGTTCAAACGCCTTGAGACTTTTTTTCCTCTACCATTTATAAAGATGCAACAACTCATCTTTTGGAAACTTTTGTATAACCATGAACAACTTAAATGTATTATTCATGTCCAAGAAGTGCTGCAATACTACAGGAAAAATGTAATGTTTCAAAAATCTAGCAGCATCCTAGCAAGTCGTAGGCCTAGGGAATATGATAAAATAGAAAACCCAAAACCTGCCATACTTCTAATGTCAACAGAAGCTTTTCTGTCTGAAAATGCTTTAAACACCAATGCATCAGCATCACTGGTGTGGTATCCATATACTTTGTCCGTTGTCTAACACTAGAATTACAATTCTAAGTAATTCCTGTATTTTTTGATATTTTTTATTCATATATTCTATGCTTTGCAAAACCAGCAGGGCCACAACACAGCTGAAGAGATACTTATAAACCCATGAATTAATACAAATCCAAAATAAGTCTCCTGTCTATGTGGGAGTTAATACAAAATAAGTGCACCAGCAGTCATGCTGGCATTGGGCATGGATTGTTTTTGTCAGGCAGCTCCAACCCTCAAAACTCACCAGCTACTATGTTCAACTTTTTCATCAATTAGTCTAGTCTGGTAAAGCTGTATTGTTTTTAATGGTAAACAAACAGTTGCATTTACAGTTATGAACAAACCTGAGTGCTGGTAAGAAAGGGAATCCTCTGTAGATCTTTCTATGGGCCGTTTTTTTTTCATGAGTTCATTCTTGGACTGGAGCAATCTGAGTGATTCATTGTAATGGTGCCTGCATTTAAAATAAAGGCTTCTGTGTGAGGTAATCCTTTCAGAGATGCACAAAGCGATTACCTGGCACTTTCAGATTCAAGAACACAGTCTGCTTTTATGCACTTTGCATTTGAATACAATTTGTTAAGAATTTAGCATATTCATTCTACCATGAGATTAGTATCAATGTAGTTAACATTTCACAGAATTCACAAGCAATCTCCATAATGGCATTCTGGTTTTCAGTTCCTTTGTGAAATTCTACCATTATGGCAATTTTGGCAGCAACATTACATTTAAAATGATGTGGAGGTTTTTGCTTGAAACAGGATTAAATCACACTTCAATCACTAGACTTAATTTCTTAATTAAATACAACTCCTCATGATGATGTTTCTATAATGTGTTTTCAGGATGAGACATTCTTGTTCCCTCTCATCCTCTTCTCCATAAAAACATGTTCCCTGAGTTTTCAGCTTGCAGTCTTTCCTTTCATTTTAATTAAAAGAATCACAATCCTGAGAAACTCAAAACATACAATTCTCATAAATTTTTTGACATCTGCTATGCTTCTAATTTTACTGAGTTCAGATCCATGAAGGCGGGCGAGGATCCTTTTGTCCGTTTTTCCAGGTTTCTATCACTTTATTCTTTTGCTGCTCCTGGTCACTGGTGCCCCACTGCAATACTGGTACTATTACCTCATGGTTGCGGCCCCTTCTTTGATCATGAGGGCAAGTGCTAATCTTAGATCCAAACGTCCTTCCAAATCAGCATGGCCTTGCCTGTTTAGAATAGTCCCTGACTTGCACCATCCTGCGCCATGCTTAGGCATTGCTCATATTGGCACAAGCCAAAATCATTTCAGGAAACAAGCTCACGGTTAAACAGGACAGGTAGACACAGACTCAAGGCAATGTCCCATCTCTGTCTAGTACAGATATAGCCAAAGTGACCATCAGATCTTACATAACTGCATCAAAGCAAAAATTATGAGTTACAAGGTACAGTCCGAATTCAGTATGTGTACAAAGCCATACATAACCCTTTGAATGTCTGGCCTAAGGAATGAATTTATAGTTTAGCGATTTAAATGTACGCTCTTCAACTCATGCAAGTACTTTTAGCCACAGGAATAAGTTGCGCAAGTGTCAAGAACCTACACTTAGACAGGCTGCATAACTATCTCCAGTCATTTTTGATGCTCAGCCATTGGCTAAAGAAACTGCATAGACAAGAGGTGAGGGACATATGGTAGTAGAGAGTAGGTAGCAGTAGATTGGCCTGTGCCTTCCTACATTTCTATTTTTAATCCTGCCTTGTTGTAAACAGGCTGATACTATGTATAGTCAAGTACACTAACTTTGTATCATGGACTGACATTCTTGGGCCACGATTCAAAAATAAGAGCTCTTGGCAAAGAGCTCACTGCAGGACTAACGTTACAAGTACTGCAAAATCTTAACTGCCAAAAGGCCTGTTCGGCAGGCGTTTCAAGTGCTGGGGCAGGGAGGTTTACATTATTTTAAAGATACACCAAAAAGGACAAACCAATCTGTCAGTTTATCAAGCATTTTCTGAACTGCCTATGAAGCTTTGAATAACTATATAATTAAATCACAAGCACAATTCAACGAAAGTTGGGTAAGATAGATCTTTGCCAATTCTAAATTAATTCATAGTATTTCTGCATCACAATCAAATCTACATTAAAAGAGGAATGAAGGTAGTTCTCTGGTTACTGACAATACTGTTTTCTTGTCTAGGAAGAATATTCAGGAACAGCAGCTAAGAGGGAAATAGCTCTGTCATGTTCCCTCCTCCTCTCTAAAAAAAACCTTGGGATAGTCTCCAAAATTTCCATACTCACTTAATGTAACAGGCAACTTACAGCACTGCCACAAGTGGGGTATGAGCTTTGCTGCTTAAAACTCTTTTATGTCGTAACTATTTGGGAGCCTCTGCAAAATCCACAGATTTTGATGGAATATGACATTTTCATTGCACTCAGGTAAAACAAGTACTGTAGGAAAAGCCCATTCATGTGTCTCAGGACACAACGTTCTACTGCAGTTAAGTGTGCAATTCAAAATACCGATAAGAAGAGACATTTAGGTACAATAATGTTTTTTGCCTTTGCCTTGCAATAGCAAAATCTCTTGCTATTGGTACTAGTTTCCTACCTGAGGGAGCTTATAGCAAAGGCAGCAATTGGTTCTTGGTTCTTTGACCAGGGAAGAATCTATAGATTAACCTTCAATAATTGTGAAGAAGCACAACTCCACAATAAACCATTGCCTGTTTATACTTGGTAAGGATCTAGCCCTAAAGCCACCTCCTTTTTTAATATTGACACGTGACAGTTAAAATACAATATAAAGCCAAAATACCTACATGTGCTATTTCATCAGGATGCTGCTTCCCCATTCAAGGGACAGGGTTCAGCATTAGATTATGGCACTGGTTCAGCTCATTAATATCGGTCATCATTTGGGAAAAAAGTTATTTAAGCTCATTTCTCTCCTTAACAGGCATCCGTTTTAACATTTTGTGAATTTATTTATAAAACTAGAGGATCACTTTCTAGGCAGACAGGAAGTTTGGCTGTTCATACCACATTGATACTGCTTTGCCTGAGCAGAAAATGATACATATAGGTTTTATTTACTGTACCTCTTATCCTAAAGGACTCTGAAGTGGATTTACAATTTAAAAACCCAATCTTGCAAGTAGTATTCCATTCAGTTGGAGCTGTGCAAGCAAGATCAAAGCCTTTGTAAGTAGGTTCACCTGATCTGTAAGATTTGTGGCTGCTTCTCTGGAGGAAAATAGTTTTACAAAACTGAAGTTTAGGAGAAAAATCCCATACCCAACCAATACTGCAGGAGAGACCTTTTGGTGATTTCTCACACTCAAATATACAATGGTGGTTAGAGAAAAGAACAGAGAAGTTTTCTGCAAAGACAGGGTGGCATTGCCTAGTCTTCCTCCCACCCCGATCCTATTCTCCTGGCTGGAGGGAAGGGGCAAAAGAAGCAACTCGATGTCTGTGTTCACTCAGCAAAGCATATAAAAGCAGAACTAAAAGGTTCCACTAGCTGTTTTGTAAGTATGTAGGGTATTCTTATGTATGCTTTTGTAAAGTCTGGTTTTTAATTGCTTTCACATAGAACCATAAGAGCTTTCTGGGCAGTTGTTGGAAGGCACATTTTAAAGCCTTAAGCTAAACAAACAACTGTTTCCAGTTAGAAAGTAACCTAGAAAATGTGGATAGAAATGAAGAATCATTGACAGTTCTTATAGCACACTTGCTTTCTTGAAAGACATCCATGAAGTCTTTCACTTTACCAATACCTGTTGACTTCTGTAGCATCTATGTTTTCAAAAAGTGGCTAGAACAAGAAGTTTGTGTTTTCATACCTTGCTCCATAATGCATTTATTACCAAGACCAACCATATGGGAAAAAGGCACGTTTCAAGGTCCTTCTATCAAGTTAACAGGTTTTGGACAAATGGTTTCATTTTTCCTTCCAGCACAAAACCACAGCAAACTCAGTGATTTTGAAGAAAACATTGGCAGTTATGGTTTAACTTGCCATTAGAGTTAATAAGAAAACTTTTCAAGGATGTGTCAACAGATAAACCTGCAGGCATAATAATGCCAACATAGCTAATCTGAATAGGGATGCTCCTGAAGAACAGGTTTCTTTGTAAACTCTCTTACTTTCTGATTAAGATCTCTGTATTACCTGCTTAGAGACTTAAAAACAAGAGACATAACACGAGAGCCAAGAACTTTTCTGCAGAACTCTCAGTGACTATAATTTTGCAGGACCCTTTCTTGGCAGAGGCTTTCCACATGCATCTAACTACTTAAATGGCACAAGTGCATTACTGTGGAGTGTTGCATAGGTCTGGGGAAAGCCTATCTGCTTTGCACTAGGAAAGGAAAGACTCCAGATGGGGAATACTGACTACACAGCCTTTCTGAAGGAAAGTGATGTGAATTTTCATTGCTTGCAGATATAATACTTCATCTCATAGCAGATGATGCCATAAACAGACATGTTCTGCTTTGCTTGGGTGTTTTACAGGAGCGAGTTCTGTGCATTGACCTGGTAGCCTGATACATTTTTGGCAATCAGTAACTTCATAAAGAAAGGAAAAAAAAAAGGTAATTACCTTAATACTTTTACTGTCTCCATCCATGTCTCCTGCTCACTCTCCCATGGATCAACTCGAATCCAGTCAGATGTCTCCAGTGCTAGTTTAGCCATAGCTATCCGGTGCCGTGCTGAAACCAAGCCTTTCTTTCTGTAGTCATCATTAACAGGAGATATTATGCCTTCAATCACCTGATACCTTCCTTTTGAAAAAAAAAAAAAAAGAAAAATAAGTCATCTTCACAGAATCTTGAAAATTTAGGGTGGATGAGACCTTGGAAGCTCATCTAGTCCAACCTCTTCAAAACATGGTTAACTTCAAAGTTGTAAGAGGCTATGAACAACCTGATCTAGGTATTATTTTTAACTCAGAAACAGCAATTTAAAAAATTGAAAAACAGCTCCCTTGTTCTTCTGTGAACTGCTCACAATTACTATCAATATGTTTATCCTATTAGATGACTGAAAAAGGAAAGCTGGATGACCATACAATTTTCAAGCAAGCAGAGATGATTATAATTTATGATGCAAACTATCAAAATTGCTAGATATAATTAAGTTTTATATTCCAGTAAGTATAGCTTTTATATAGCGAGAGCAATGGATGACTTAACTGACCACTGCTTTGTTCTTAAGCATCTGATCCTTGTTATTTATCAAAATCATTGTGCCTTTTCATTCTGTTAAAGAAAGAATTACAGCATATTACTGGGGCTGTGATTAATGTGATTCAGACAAATCAGAAGATTCAAGAACAAAGATGGGGCTAATGGAGTCTAAAATGAGACTTAGAGCACTATGGTCCAAACATCAGCTTAGCAGCCATTATAGACCCTTTCTATCCGGCTGATCATGTTAATTAAATTTGAAAATATGCCCATATTTTTCTACTCTTGTAACATAATGTAATCATTAACAAAAAAAGCTCTTTTTCTTAGACTTTGCAGTTCTGGCCTCAAATCAGAAATAAAAATGTAGCGCTCATTTTAATAAATCAACAGGGAAATAAAGCACTGATATGACCTGCGTCCCTCAAGAAATGGAGAGGAGAGAAAGGGTGTTGCAAATAAACAGAAATGAAACAAAATGATTTCTAATGTAACAACACATGCATTTTAAATAAATATGATAAATATGATACTGAAGGGGGAAAAAAATCCTCTTCCTTTTTTTCTAATTCAATTGTTTCAACAAAGAAACTTAAATGCAGCAAGTTCCCTCTCTTGCTTTCTAATGAAAATTATACGCCTGGACTCATAATTTCTGATACTGGCACATGACAATTTAATATTCTAAAATGACAATTTAGTAACTTCACATTTATTTTGATATAATAGGGTAAAATATTCAAAAGAACTTAAGCAAGTTGCACTTAAAAAAATAGCATTAAGATTCAATGAGATTTACAGGCCTGTCTCCTGTTAAAATGTCAGTCCAAACTATCCTCTGTTTTAAAACATTCTCATTATAGGCAAAATGGTCAATAGAGCAAGATAAAATTTTCCAGAAACATGCAAAGATGTGTATATAATTAAGTCCATCTCTTGATCTGAAACTGGAAATAATTTCACTTGACTTATGAACAATTATTCTCCAGTACTTTGATAATATACAGTGCTATAACAAATTCTCATTTAAACGGAAAGAAATTACATTTTTAATTCATTAATATGGTACGCTTATTAAAAGGGGGTTACCCTTACAAAATAATTTTATTTTCCACATTTAAGTTCCTTTCTTTTCAGTTTCTACACCTATAAATTGTTCTCTTATATTTTAAATGAATATATTAAATGTAAAAATTAAAATTGTGTGAGATTATGCTAGCCAAGAATGATTGCAACTCTGCCATATCCTCGCGAATTGTAAAGATTTCAGTCTCTAGTCTGGCCTAGAACTGCATAGATTGGATGAGATAAGAGCTTCTGATGCCATATCAGCTTGTTCCAAAGCAGAAAGGAAACCAACTGGAAGAGAAAAATCACGGTTGCTGACACTTAAGGTACCGAAAATCAAATACAATAACTGTTTGAGATGATTCACAACAACTGAGTAAGCCAGCACTATGCAAACATGATGCACATGACAGTCTTCCACCTAAAAATACAAGCTTTATCATTCAAAATATCTTATTACTGGCTCTAAATAACTTGTGTTCTCTTCAGTAATTTAAAAGTTCACCTATTCAAATATGCCCCCCAATTTTGTCAGGCATGCAAAGAGGAAACCATTAAATTCTGCCACTTTGGTTTTTTTTTTTAATTTCCACTGCAATTCTTTTCTCTGTCCCATAAAGTATTACAGCTAGTTTCAAACCTTCTTTGGTCCAGACTTGTCTTCAAATTCTATTTCTTTGAATGCTATTTGTTTTCATCATGAAGTATGTTATTATTGCTTGTCCTATGTGTAAAAATCTTCCAGGCCCTTACGTGGCTTTGTTTTACAAAATATACCTATCCAAAGCAGCGAAGTATTTCCTCTTGTGATGCCCTTATGTTCTCTAAGAACTGCTTAGGATAACTGGTTAGAAAACTAAATGTAACAAAAATAATGAAACAAAAAAATGTCCCTCAAACATGTTAAAGTAGTATTATTAAGGAAAAGAGGTATTTAGTATTCTGTTATAAAGGTCACTGTAAATTGTCACAAACACTAACACAAATTGTAATGCTGAATTAGTTTATTAATACTAAAGCAAATTTATCAAATGCCAATTTCATATAAAATTGTATATGTACTTTGGCGGGGCTTTTAAGGATTAATTTCTTCTGGTAGTAAGTCTGGGATTTACTATTAGAAACTATACAAAAAGTAAATAATAAAAGTAAATAACCACTATAGAAAACCAAATAAAAGAAATACTTCCATATATTTAACTCTCGCCCACTACTCTTCTTCCTCTCAGTGTCATAGGAAAATCCACAACAGACTGGGAAGCTCTGCAGCTTTATGGTGTTATCCTACCCAGCGAGCAGGAAT